AATGTCAAACAAGGGAACGAGCCACGACCTGCCACTAGTAGTGACAATGCCAATTCTATCAGGGACTTTCAGAGGCTCGGCTTCAACATCCAAAAAGATTCGTCGCACGCGGTGGGCGGAGGCGCGGGGGCGCGGCGATGGGCGGCGGGCGCTGGCACGGGGCGTGTCGGATATGTGACGTAAATGTGGGCCTCAAAGCTCTGGTAAACACTCGGACATTGCACAAATGGCATGTATGGCTCATTATCTGCAAAAATTGAGCAATTCGTATGAAACTACTGGTCCTCCAGAAACAGTGTTTCTGGCCGGCATGAGTGTCTCATTTGTAGGGCGTCCGCAGCGCAGATATTCTTGTCAAATATCCTGCGCCTCGGCCTGCGCCTCGACCACTTTCTCCGGGAGTCACCCCACAAAAATCCATCCTCCGGAAGTATCCCTCGCACCGCAGCTCGCTTTTCACTGTCACCCTCTGTTCTTTCCCCTTTTTCTCTGCCATATTTTGGCGGGATAATGCGATCTTTTCCGCCAGACGCCAGAAAGGCCCTGCATCACTTTGGGACAATCATAATCAACGAAACGCCCGTAATTGACGTCTTTTGTTGCGCTCATCCCGGAGATAGGGCGGACGAAAGTGACGAGCCCACTTTGCGCAATATACAAAAGCGTTTCAAGAAGCTCTCTTTTCTTGTTCATCCGGACAGATGTGTGTCGGATCGCTCCTCCGCGAATAAAGCTTTGCAAAAGCTCACTCGCGCAAAAGAACAAGCTGAGAGAGACATTCGTTTTGATGAGATGGAAAACGGGGAAGATGCTTCAAATTTGGTTCCCGCAACACTACTTTTTACACTCATTCCAACCTCGAAGGAGAAACTACTCGAACTCATGTTAAGGGAGGAAAGGGAGAATATTCGAAGAAAGGTCATGGCTGAGGAGGAGGAAATGTCTTCTCAAGCGGAAAAAGGCGAGGATAGGAGCAAAGAAACGGAAAAAAGTGAAGAAAGGGAAAAGAGGGAGGGGCGTCGCAATCGTGAAGAAAGGATGCAAGAAGAAAGAGCTCAGGAGTTGAGACGTAAAAGGGAGCAGGGGCTAGAGGAGGAGAGAGTACGTGCGAAGAGGGAGGAAGCGGAGAGAGAAAAAGAGCAGGCATTGGAGGAAGAGAGGGAAAGAAAAGGCTCAGCGGAAAGTGAATGGGGACATCAGCGGAGGGAGAAGGAAATGAGACAAGAATGGGAAACGGAAGACGAAGACATATGTCAGGTGGAAAAGCCTGAGACGATTACGCAAAGGCGGGAACGGATGGCTAGGGAGCGCAGAGAGAAGAGAATGTCTTATCAGGAACGAGCACGTATGGATAATGAGGCGCGGAAACGAGAAGAGAGGCAGAGGAGGGAACGAAGGGATCGTCATGAATCAAGGAGCCAAGGAGGGGCTCGGAATAATTCCCCCAGGATCCATACATCTTCGTTTGACGGAACCGATTTTATGACCGATGTCCTGGGTAGAGAGTTTGAATCTAAAATGGGTCACGGCCCAGATGGTGAGGAAGCGGAGTTCGTTGGGGCGCCCGACGATGATTGGGATAGAGAGGGAGGTGACGGGATGAACTCGGATGAGGAAGAGGACGATGAGGATGTTGATGCCGAAGAAGAAAGTTCGATGGAAGATGAAGCAGATTCCTCTCGTTCCCCTCGCCCGGAATGTATTGACGACGATGACTTTGATTTCGGAGCGTACATAGCCGTCACGCCTGAAGACACCAGCAGCAATGGAGAAGCTTGTGATGCAGCAGCTGCGGCTGAAAGGGTGTTGCCAGTTGACCTCAGAACTTTGTCTGAAGACGAACAGAAGAAACGGCGAGCGGAACAAAAGAGAGCTTCAAAAAAGAGAAGTCAGCGGAAGGCAATGGCGGAAATAGCGGCGGATAGAGTAGCAGAGATGACGTGGGTTCCCCGGCGATGCGTCCCGTATACCCCTGAGGTTGGGATTCAGCTTTCCGGAAGATGGCGCTGCGAGCAGCTCATTCGAGCATATACTGCGAATTTGGGTGTGCCGGAGGGAGTGAATGTGGTGAAAAACTTCGAAATGGTGCGTATGGACTGTCGACGAAAGCATTGTGCCGCAACTCTCACTTTTAATCGGCAACCGAAATCGGGATTGTGGAAGTTGAATCGGTTCCAAGAGCACGAAAACCAGTGCTATGGGCAGTCAGTCGACAGAAAGTCCTGTCAAATTAGACCGGCGTATACCGCTGAGCAGACCGCACGGGCGCTTCGTGATGAGTTCGCCTTGAACCATGACATGCCCACTAGCGTCCTAGCGTCCATTTTAAGGGCGAAGTCAATTTACCGTCGACAACCAGCAAACTCACACATTCGCGCTGTGAGGCGCGAGCTGAACAGATACATCTCAGCTGCTCGAGCCGTTGACATGGCTGCCCTGGAAGGATACTCTGATCTGTTGAGGGAATTGGGGCACAGGGTGGACATTTTCATCTTGTCCGGTACGGAAATGAAGGCGCAGCGCATCAAGGCTGCACGATTCATATACAAACAACAGCAAAAACTTTCATACTCTGAAAAACTAAGATCCCTACAATCCGGGTTTAATGTAGAGGATGTGGACGTCTCGGATATTGCGGATGAGGGTAAATATTATGGCGGGTTCCTCTTCGTCCCGATGGTTGCAGAAGCTTTCTGTAGAAAGGGCAGGATGACATGCGCAGCGGATGCCGCTCATTGCGAGGGTTTGGGCCGCCGTTCTTACGGAACCACATTTGAAGTGTTCGGATACGACACTAACCATCAACTCTGCCCCTTGGTGTTCGCCCATTTCGTGGGAGCTGAGGGAATGGACACATGGGAGAAAGTTTTTGCTGCCGCCGCGGATATCCCAGGGTTTGATGTACCTACGAGGACGACAATTGTCGACCAGGAGAAATCTATCGACTCAGCGTACAAGCGGTGCATGCAGCACGCGAAGTTGTTCCTGGACCCACTGCATGTCCGAAAAAATCTCGCTACAGCACTGGGTGCGGGAAAGGTTGTTGGTGTGCGCATGTACGATAAAGCGCTTCGAAACCCAAGCAGGGATGAGGTTATTCAAGCCAAAAAAGACTTCCCGATGAAGATGTCAGATTACCTTAATAGGTTTGATGACAGTGAGCTGTACAGAGCATGCTCGATGTTGCAAGATCTAATCACGACATCTCAAGGAGCTGAAAGTGGTATGTCCGCCGCCCTGCGAAACCACATCAGGACAGTGGAGCCTCAAAAGATGCTGGAGAAAGTTGTGTCGACACAGCGAACTGCCTTTTTGAAGCGGCAAGCAACTGAAATGAACTGCAAGAGTCCCGTACCACCTCACATTGAACAACGTCTTGCGCTACTCATTCAGAGATCAAGAGTTTATAAGGAGTCTGTTAGGTTTGTAGAGGGAACGGGGCAAATGGAGGCGACGGTACGAAGCGTGGTGGACGGAACGCGTTTGAGGCATGTAGTCATGCGTTCAGAGCCAAACACGCCCCCTTCATGCTGCATGCATTCACGAGATGGTTCCAGTTTTCCTTGCTATCACGGAACGGCTGTCATATGTGAGAAGTACGGATCTAATAATTTGTATAAGCACGTTGCGCGACGACATTTGACGAAAGCATGGAAAGAGAATTACTACAGCTTGTGTTACTCAATGCCGGCGCAATACTCTGTCGACAAAGTTATCAAACAAGCGAAACGGATAGTAGCTTTTGGTCAGAACTTAAGAATTCCCAAAGCTATCCCTCCTCCTCGTGGGAGGCCAGTGAAAAACGCGGGAAAACGTAAGAAGAGCTGGTATGAGAACGGACCTGCGCCATCAAAGAGGAAGTATACTTGCTCTCTTTGTCGTTCTGAGACGCATACTGTCACTGATTGTGCACTGAGACAGCTTTATGGGGATGAAAACACTAGGTAAACATGCTTCCGTGGTATGGAAAATACGGAAAATACTGTATGTAATTGTATGTAGATAGAGTGGGTAGAAGTTGCCGGTGTTTCGCATATGAAGTCACCCTATATTTCCAACTGAAATCACATCAATCTCAGAAAACGATCCAATGTCGCCCTATAGACACAGACAAAGATCGGCATGTTTCAACATGTCGTTTTCTTAGGGCGACGTCACCCTCGGAATTGGATGAATGAGGAACGTCACCCTTCAATGCCACCTCAATTGGGGTAGTCGCCCCCAAAACACCCCCAGGGCTAGAACTTCACCTCCCCAAGGGCATCAAAAGCCGCACCTGTCACCCCAAGATCCGCAAATGGCCCTTTTTTTTTTTGCCTTTCCAGCCTCATCAGTGATGAGGCTGGAAAGGCCAAAAAAATAAGGCGGGGCTGGGGACACTGAAGAGAGAATACTGTACCCTTGGTACTGTAGGAGCCATCTCGCCTCATCTCCAGCAAAGGTGAATCTTCAGGCCTTCAGGCAGCAGTGGCGAGATTGCTGAGGGCCGGGCGCCCTTTCTCCGCTCACGTGGCGTTGCGACCTCAGCTACCTGAGTTTTCTCATAGGCTACTTCCAGGTTGCCACCGTCGAGATTCCTTACAGTTCGTTGTGCAGGCCGAGGGCCTATTGGTCCAAAGTTGCACGTGTCCTCCCCGGTTGGCATTGCAAATTAATGATCGGCTGTGATTGGCGCATCCAGCAGAGCACATCCACCATCGGCCTGCCGGCCGGGCCAGCAAGCCTCGAGAGACGTGGAGCTCGAGGGGGGATTAATCCTTGCCTTAACAAGTCGAAGCGAAGCCACACTCTTCGTTCACCCCCGCGTTCGAATCGCTTATCACACTTTCTCCATGCACCAGAATCCCTCCATCTCCTACACTTCCCCTCCCCCCCCTCCCGCCCCTCCCGCCCCTCATCCGCCCGATCCCCCCCATCCCGCCGCCGCCTTCCTCCCGCCGGTCGCCCTCGCCTCCCGCAGTGCATGGGTGTGCGGCGCTAGTCCTTGCAGACCCCCCGGCATGTCGTCCGGCGCGCGCTTCCTGCGCCTTCTCCGGACGCCGGTCCGCCTGCCGTCGCGCCGCTTCTGCGCGGCCAATGCCAAGCCCACGGCGAAACCTGCCGCCCCGGAGAAGGCCATCTCCGCCTCCATCCCGTACGCGAACCTCTCCGTCGGCGTCGCTAAGGAGACCCTCGCCTCCGAGGCCCGCGTCGCCCTCACCCCCGCGGGCGTCGCCACGCTGCGCAAGGCCGGCCTCGGCGCCGTCTTGGTCGAGGCCGGCGCGGGCGCCCCGTCAGAGTTCTCGGACGCCGCGTACAAGGCCGCGGGCGCTAAGCTCGTCGAGCGCAATGACGCCCTCAACGCCGATATCGTGCTTGCCGTTCGACCCCCGCCAAATCATCTCGTGGATAAGCTTAAGGACCGCGCCGTCCTGGTCTCGCATATCCAGCCGGCTGTCAATGAAGGCCTTGTAGAGGCCCTGCGTGAACGGGGCGTCACTACGCTTGCGATGGACCAGATCCCGAGGACTCTATCCCGTGCCCAGGCGTTTGACACGCTTAGTTCCATGGCCAATATCGCGGGGTATCGCGCTGTCATCGAGGCTGCCAATGTCTTCGGCAGGTTTTTCACTGGTCAGATTACTGCTGCCGGAAAGATCCCTCCGGCAAAGGTTCTCGTTATCGGAGGAGGTGTCGCGGGACTCAGCGCTGTTGGCACTGCCAAGAATATGGGAGCCATTGTCCGCGTTTTCGATACCAGGGCTGCTGTTGAAGAACAGGCAAAGTCTTTGGGCGCAGAATTCTTGAAGGTCGATATCAAGGAAAGCGGCGACGGTGCCGGAGGCTACGCGAAGGAGATGTCAAAGGAATATCAGGAAGCCCAGTTGGAACTCTTTAGACAGCAGGCAAAGGACATTGATATCATCATTTCCACTGCCCTTATCCCTGGAAAGAAGGCACCTGTGCTCATCACAAAAGACATGGTCGAATCTATGAAACCTGGAAGTGTTACCGTCGATTTGGCAGCTGAGGCTGGAGGCAACGTCGAAACCACAGTCCCAGGAGAAATATGGCGTTCACCAAATGGTGTCTCGTGCATCGGATATACAGATCTTCCCTCTCGTCTCGCGGCGCAAAGTTCCTCATTGTACTCCAACAACATCACCAAGTTCCTTCTCTCAATGGGACCTCAAACCACGAAGGTCAAGGGTGAGTTCCTCATCGACCATGAAGATCAAGCCGTGCGAGGCGCTCTTGTGACAGAGTCTGGAAAGAACATGTGGCCAGCGCCCCCCCTCCCGCCCCCGCCCCCACCGAAAGCATCTGCCGTGAAGCCTGTGGTTCCAGAAGTTGTCGTCGATCCTCGACAAGCCGCTATGAGCAAGGCAATGGCCACGACCGGGGCCGTAGGTGGTGCTCTGGCCCTCGGTGTGCTCTCCCCTAATCCGGCCACGTCTTCCATGCTTGCCAAGTTTGGTCTTGCCAGTGTTTGTGGATACCAGACTGTCTGGGGAGTTGCCCCAGCCCTGCATTCTCCGCTTATGAGTGTCACGAATGCGATTTCTGGACTGACGGCCGTTGGTGGACTCATATGTATGGGTGGAGGCTTCTTGCCGGATTCCACTGCTACGGCACTTGCCGCCTCTGCCGTTCTTGCTTCAGCAGTGAACATTGGTGGTGGTTTTACCGTGACGCAACGAATGCTGGACATGTTCAAGAGACCAGGCGATCCGGAAGAGCATAACGATGTCTTCAAGTATCCGACCGCAGCTTTGGCAGTAGGTTCCATTGCGGGCATTACATTGGGGGCGAGTGAAATGGCAAACCTGGCCTACCTCGCCTCTTCCACCGCATGCATTGGATCCATTGCATGCCTTGCTCAGCAGAAGACTGCTAGACTGGGAACCACTCTTGGAATGATGGGTGTTACGGGAGGAGTTGCAACCGCTCTCGCTGCTGCACCAACTACAATTCCTCTCTTGTGCCAAATGCTTGGTACCTTGGGTGTTGGAGCAGCTGCTGGTAACTTTATTGCTAAGAACATGAAGATCACGGAACTTCCGCAAATGGTCGCCGCTTTCCACAGCTTGGTCGGTCTTGCAGCAGTCACAACGTCTGCAGCTTCATTCCTCGCGACAGCAGACCCGTCGCACCTTGACCTCGTCCACAAAACGTCCCTCTACCTCGCCACGTTTGTTGGAGCAGTAACGTTGACTGGGTCTGCCACAGCTTTTGGCAAATTGCATGGAATTTTGAAATCAGCACCTCTTGACCTTCCGAGCAAAAACACCATCAACGCCGGCCTCGCTGCTGGTAATGCTATTGCAGGACTGGCCTTCCTTGCCTCTGGTAATCCCACCCTCGGCATTGCTTGCATTGCCGGCTCGACAGCGATGGCTGGAGTGATGGGAGCACACATGACGGCCAGTATTGGCGGTGCCGATATGCCCGTGGTCATTACACTCTTGAATTCGTACAGTGGAGTAGCACTTGTTTGCGAAGGTTTCCTTCTCAATAACGATCTTCTCACTGTCGTTGGAGCGCTTATCGCCTCGTCAGGGGGTATCCTCAGCTACATCATGTGCCAGGCTATGAACAGAAGTCTAACTAATGTCATTCTCGGAGGTTACGGCACTACCACGAAGAAGAAGGATGCCGGTGACGGACCGGTGCTAGAGCATCAAGAAGTCGACGTACCAACGGTTGCAGACGCGCTTACTATGGCGAAGCGTATCACCATTGTACCTGGATACGGCTTGGCAGTGGCAAATGCGCAGTACGCCATTGCAGATATGGTGAAGACGTTGCGCGAGAAGGGGAACATTGATGTCCAGTTTGCCATTCATCCGGTCGCTGGCCGCATGCCCGGGCAGCTCAACGTCCTTTTGGCAGAGGCGGGAGTTCCGTATGACATTGTGCACGAGATGGATGAAGTTGCTGACACACTCGGTGATACAGACGTCGCCCTGGTTATAGGTGCGAACGACACCGTAAGCCTCGCGGCTGAGGACCCCGACAGTGTCTTGTACGGGATGCCTGTGATTCCAGTATGGAATGCCAAGCAAGTGTACATTCTGAAGAGATCGTTGGCGGCAGGGTACGCCGGTGCAGACAACCCATTGTTTTTTGAACCGAATTCGGCCCTTCTCTTGGCAGACGCCAAGAGCTCTTGCGAAGCTTTGAAGACGAAGGTTAATGAGTCTTTTTCCTAATCCAATCACGTGATGTTTGCAGTAGATGGAGGCATTGAAACTGTGGTACCGAAAGCAGCATACGGGAATGCGTTTGTGGTTTGAATGCCCGAGATATGTAAAGCGGTTCGCCAACGTAGAGATATCGCTGCTTTGGTTGTTGCGCGTGCTTTTCACGAACGGATGGGACGGTGGAGCAAGTATTGTTTACAGAAGCGGAATAACATCTTTCCTTCTGTAGGTGGTCGCAAGATTTAGCCTTCTGACTGTTCTGGATAGCCTTTCCCGACGTTCCCATGTGTTCTCTGCTCTAGAGGAATATCTCTTACAAGGGTCCGTATCATTGCGCCACCATAGCGTCTGGTTGCGTCTTTATGGTATGCACTTTACAAACCTTGTCTCGATCTTTTGACGAAAACCTTTCTGTAAAGTGGCAGGTTTGTTCCAGTGAGGCCGGGTTATTTCTGTTGATACTGGCGAGAGGTGCTCACATCTCAGACCTGCCCTTTTTCTAAAAAACTAAGAACAGAAAAGAGAGGCTTACATATCACACATGCAGGACAACTCTCTTTGAACATATGCGAAATGATAGTCTACCTTCTCAGGACCAAAAGTGACAAGGTAGTTGGACAAGCGCACATCCAAGTAATGTGTTGGACGCCCTTAGAAATGAGGAATGCACTGCTTCATAGGCAAAAGAAAACTATATAAGCACTTTGAGGGCCCCGTGTTGGCCTGCCGTTTGAGCTAAAACGTGCTGCTTGAGTCTCTCAAGAGATTGGAGATTGTCATTGTCCACGTCATAGATTAGTGAGGCGACCAATGATTAACGCAGATAAATAATAGAGAATTTTTGTTACCTACCACTTTTTATGAGCCCCTTTTCACTTTTTTATGAGCCCCTTTTCTTAGGAGCGCTATAATGATGAAGATGTGAAGAGGGCGTCGTCGGAATGAGTTTGATCAAAGGGAGCACGTTCCCTGACAAGCACAGCATCTTGATGGCATCCTTAACCCTGTGCGCCACCGTGGGCCGATCTCACAAGGTGAAAAACTCAGACTCAGGGCGCCTGCGTATACAGTGCCCCTCCCAGGAGTGCTCATACATTGTCAACGCTAAACCAGACCGCAGGGCAAACAACGGCTTGTGGAGAGTGGGAAAACTCAATCTCACTCACTCCTGCGACGCAATAAAGGGGAAACGAAAGCGCAAGCCCCTAGCCGTGTGCTAGTGTCTCGTTTGATAATCTACGCGAGCGGCATGCCAACGTCCCAGAGGCTGCACACTGGAATCATCTGGACATAAAAGTGGGCATCGACTGTTTTTCATCATGCAACACTTCAACGCCAGTATGTTGTTGCTGCGGCCCTTGCCTCTCAAGTAAACATTAACGTGGATTTGCAGATTCTGCCTCTTGCCAGACAGATGAGCGCGTGGAGAGTTCCGAGTCAGGCAGGTCGGCCGAAGAAACGGTGGAAACAGGGGGTCGCAGCGCTTCAATGAAAGTCGCGTTGCTCTGCTTGTGGTCAAGTTGGGCACTACGCTACGACTTGCGAAGCCCCAGACACTGTGTACCTCTACCGGAAAGTCGTTCGAGAGTGAGGTGAAGAAAGTGGTACGTAAGAAGACTTCCAAAATAAAAGTGGTAGGTAACAAACATTCTCTAAATAATATTCTCAGATCAACCTTCAGAACAGCACCGTTCGAAAAGGACATCATTAAGACACCATTGCTGAACCCAAGCTACTCCACAGTGCGTGACCTACCGCGAGCTTAGTGCTGCAAGTGTTGTGGCCTTTTAGTTGGCACGAGAGGATACCATAGGCGACGAACAAAGTGTGGTAATACAGTAGAAGAGAGATCAAAAGAGGCATTTCTCATGCGATCGAGCATTCGTGTCTTGATCCATTCCAGACGGGCTGGCTGTCCATGCCCACAGCTCTAGGACACAGCAATGAACATCCCCGGCCCGTTCCTCGTTTTCTATTGTTGTTCTCGTTGTTGTCATGGTAGTCTTCCTGCTTGCACACGCGAAGTGCAACTTCCGTTTGTACTTCTCACCTGTGAGGCTATGCCCCGCCCGAGGAGATGACCTGCGTATGAAGAAACATTTGTTGGCGCAGTATCCTTTCGCTTAACCGACAGCTTCAGCTTGCCAGGAGTTCGAAGTGACCATTCTATCTCGTTCGAACTTGACACTTGCCTTTTTTGGCTATGAGCGAGAATGTTCAACATCTGTGGTGTCCGGACTAGGCACGTTCATAAAGTGCTGTACCTTTCCGCACAGTCTTTTTGAGTTCAGGCATACCTCCCTGCATACATTCGCATCTACGTTTTTCGCCCTGTTTGGGCTTCATTAAACCGCTACAGTCTGTTTCAAAAGCTTTAAACGCGATGAGCTATTCCACACTGCGCGACCTGGGAAAGTGCGAAAAAAGTGCGAACCTTGCAATCAAGTGACCCACTTGGAAAACTTCTAATGGCCATTGAAGTTTATCTTTGGGACTTACGCAGGTATTCGCACCCGTTGAATATGATTTATCGACTAGAGGAAGCATTCTGGATCGTTGGTACCAGCGAGTATTTGAAAGCGAGAATGCATTGAACATGAAACTTGCGTATGAATAGTATCCGCACACAGGCATTCTCGGGATAAAAGCGAACGCTTTCGGATTCTTGCCAGCATTTCATGACATTCGAAAACGCTTTCGAGACAGCGTTCATTCCCTTGTCGTGGCTATGAGCGCTATGGATTCGTATCAGATGCGAGTCATGCTCATTAGCCCTTCTTTTGCTGTTTGGTTTTTTGGATAATCCGAGGTCGACACACACTCAGGTACTTGGCATGATGAACCGCGCGAGTATGCGTGTCACATGGATTCGCTTTATCGACATAACAAACGCATTCAAGCAGAAGCAATAGATTGCTGTGGTCCACCAACCGCTTTCGGGTTTAATATGAGTGAGTATTTTGTGGAAGGGATATCCAGCAAGATAGCATGTAGAGAAGAGGACGACATCAGTCAGCTACTGAAGGACGGTGTGCTAGATCACGAGGAGCTTACCCGAGACGCTTCAAAGGACGAGGAAATTGATCACAGCGTCGTTTACTGTATCTCATACTGGCACATGAAGAACAACGTGGTTGAGACACAGGCTCTCGTACACAGGCTCTCGTTGGGGCTCTTTACGCGGCTGCAAGCATCGCGGCGGCCCGAGAGAAGAGCCATTTCAGAGTGTGGTTTGACAATATTTTGAGAAGGCCTTCAGAAACCGGCAAGGGAGTGGGCGTTTCATGGACTACTACCGTATGCATACTATCCAGTGATTGCAGTGCGAACGTAGCCCCAGGTAAAGGGGAGCGAACGTGGCTCCTTGCCGAAGAGCGTATGGGATACGAAAACCGTTGCATTTATCGGATCGACGTACAAATTCAGGGGTATCGATACCTGCAGTACATAAAAACGGAGGAGTGTGAAGGCGAGAAGACGTTTCGTTTGGAAGACAAGCAGACGTTTAAGGATCTTGCTGATATTCATGCAAAGACAGAAGGCGAGCAGGATGTCTACGAGCGCTTATTCTCAGCGCGGAGGGATATCCACGAAGAGCAGCATGGCCGGCTGTGGTGGTCATTGGTACTTGGCGTGGAAGCTTCCTCAAACCTGCGACAGCCGGAGGTGGCAACTAGGAAATCTCGCTTTCGAGACACGAGACTGTTCCCTTTGATGGGTAGCGAGAATGGTTTCAACACAAGGAGGTATGTACTGGTACACCCAGTAGAGGGGCAGCTTGAGCAATCCGAATTGGTTTTCAGACAAGTGCATCCATCTATCTAGCATCAACAAGGGACGTCTGGATCATCATATGTGCTCCGAACGGAGACGGACGTTGTGATCGTGCTGTTAAGAGGAACAGCAGTCTGGGTCTCTAAAGTTGCTTGCCTGTGTATCCATGTGGAAGAGGTTGGCGATGGCTTCCGCCCGCATACTTTCTTCAGAGTTTTAACTCCAGTAGGATGAACCGCCCGAAGATGAAGTTTACTTGGGTTGCATAATCGGCCGCTTACAAGCAGATACGGAAACAGCCGCGATCGAAGCCATCCCTCCGCATGCCTTTAAGTTTGTTTTATGATTTCAAGTTTACAGATGGAAGAAAGCACATTACATAAAGCTTGGAAATATTGACAATGCGCATTTTTCTAGAGTCACTCTGCGTGTTGAGCACACGGAACCGTGCCGCAAGGCTTTTGCGCCCGAATGGGCTGCATGAGAGCAGACTCTACTATGGCAATTACATACATTGCAAATCTCTCGCGTGTGGCTATCTCCTACATACTCTGTACTGTACGGCAGGGGCCTCCAAGTTGCGGTTGCACACACACACACACACACACACACACACTCTCTCTCTCTCTCTCTCTCTCTCTCTCTCTCGCGAAGAGTCAGGGCATCTTTTTCAGCTTCCCCCACTTGCTCTCCATTGCAAAAAGATGCAGCAGCTTCGCCGCGCTTTCCGGAATCATGAGCTCATCCCCCTTGGACGAGTGCATGGTGGGCGGCCCCTCCTTGACGAAGTCGTGCTCCTTCTGTGGCAGGCGTTTCAAAATGGGCTCGACATTGGTGACGTTGCCTAGTTCATTGACGTCGAGGACGATGTCATAATCGATGTCGTCGAAGTAAAACTCCTGCGGCCTGAGATGGACGTCGAGTTTCCGCAAAGACTGTAGCTTAATACCGACGCGGGCACGCACGCGGTCCAGGACTTGTGCAAACTCGGAGATGTTGAGGCAGATTCTGTTGTCGTCGACGAAGCCTGCCTGTCTCAAGAGCTGTGGGACGATAGCGTCGCGGTTCCTGACGTCCGTGCCGTAGACGTCGGCTTCGCACGTGACCTTGCTCTTCCAGCTGGACACGAGCCTCTCGAACGGGTTGCGCTGGATGGCGACGCGGAGGGTGTCGGGGCCGGTGAGGATGCGCCACTGATCGTCGTCGGGCATACGGTAGAGGTTGCGCGCATGGTCGAGCCAGCACGGGGAGCGGACGTCCTGGACGTAGGTGTCGCACTCGGACTTGTTGAACTTGCGGCCGGCCAGGCCGTAGTAGAGCCAGTTGAAGGTGGAGGTGGTGCCGCCCTTGGCCATGGTCATGAGCAGGACGTCCGGGTGGGGGAAGTAGCGTGAGGTCGCTGTCGAGT